GCTGGAGCTGGCAAGGGTACGCGCGGCGCCCCCGGGGCCGGGACCGGCCATGCGCTCGGGGCTGGCACCTGTCAGCCCAGATTGCTCCGCGGGCGCATGTAAAGAGCCTGGCGGGCGCCATGGCGCCCGCGGGCACCAGGTTGGGGACCACGGGGATAGAGACATCTCTGAGAGGAGGGTAGAGATGATAGAGATTTTCTGCTGGAGCTGGCAAGGGTACGCGCGGCGCCCCCGGGGCCGGGACCGGCCATGCGCTCGGGGCTGGCACCTGTCAGCCCAGATTGCTCCGCGGGCGCATGTAAAGAGCCTGGCGGGCGCCATGGCGCCCGCGGGCACCAGGTTGGGGACCACGGGGATAGAGACATCTCTGAGAGGAGGGTAGAGATGATAGAGATTTTCTATGTTCTAGAAAGGAGGAGAGGATGGCAGATGATAAATTATGGGTAAGATCGGGTGAAAAAGAGTCTACACATCAGGAAATGGCAGGCAGATAAATAGTGACACATTTTCCAATTGTTTATACATAAACGCTAGAAGTCTAAATAAGATGGGTGAACTAGAGTGCCTTGTATTAAAGGAGGATATTGATATAATAAGCATCACAGAAACTTGGTGGAATGAGGACAATCAATGGGACACAGTCATACCAGGGTACAAAATATATCGGAAGGACAAAACAGGTCGTGCTGGTGGGGGAGTGGCACTATAGAAGAAAGAAAATGTAGAATCAAATGAAGTAAAAATCTTACATGAGCCAAAATGTTCCATAGAATCTCTATGGCTAGTAATTCCATGCTCTAATAATAAGAATATAGCAGTAGGGATATTTTATTGATCACCTGATCAGGACAGTAATAGTGATAATGAAATGCTAAGGAAGATTAGAGAGGCTATCAAAATAAAAAAACTTGATGATAGTGGGGGATTTTAGCTATCCCCATATTGACTGGGTATATGTCACCTCAGGACAGGATGCAGAAATAAAATTTCTTGATACCTTAAATGACTGCTTCTTGGAGCAGCTGGTTCTGGAACCCACAACGGGAGAGGCAATTCTTGATTTAGTCCTATGTGGAGTGTAGGATCTCGTCCAAGAGGTAAATACAGCTGGACCACTTGGAAATAGTGACCATAATGTAATAAAATTTAACATCCCCATGGTGGGAAAAACACGTCAGCAACCCTGCACTGTGGCATATAATTTCAGAAAGGGGAACTACACAATAATGAGGTTATTTAAACAGAAATTAAAAGGTACAGTGACAAAAGTAATGGAAGCTGCATGGAAACTTTTCAAAGACACCACAATAGAGGCCCAACTCAAATGTATACCCCAAATTAAAAAAACACAATAAGAAAACCAAAAAAGTGCCACTTAGCTTAACAACCAAGTAAAAGAATCAGTGAGAGATAAAAAAGCATTGTGTAAGAAGTGGAAGTCAAATCCTAGTAAGGAAAATAGAAAGGAGCATAAACTCTACACTATGAAGCTATGCCGGCATAACTATTCCAGTTTAGCAACACCAGTATTATCTCCATCGTATAGTCATACCCTTAGACCTTTCTCCTTAAGATCCATCTCCATGATTTAGATATTGTCTTAAATAAATGATGTTTGGGGAGGGTGGTTTTGCAAGGTGATCTGAGGAGTGTTTAGCTTTGTGGCTGGAATGATTGCCTGGTGTAGAACCAACCAGTTTGCGAGAAATGAAGTTTTGAACTAACAGAAGCTGCTTCTGGAGCAATCACATCAAAATTTAAGAAATCTGCCTACAGTGAATATAATTTGCACTCTAGCACTTTGGAGGATTTCCAAGGGTTTTCCTCAGAGTGGAGAGATGTGTATTTATTTATTTGCATAAGTGCGTGTAACTCAGCGTGAAACAGGAAAGCATATGGCATTGAAGTTTTTAACCCTGGCGCTGAACCTCCACGTGACGAAACTTTGGCGACGTACCAGAAAACATAAATTACCAAGTGACATGAAAAGATCGTTAAACTCCATTGGACATATTAATAGCCAGAATAATGTATTAAACTAATGCAGCAGACACCTGACAGATTAGCTCATGTGCACCAGCCACAGAAAAATGACAGGAAAGAATCTGGATAAGGTCCATAGTTCTGGGCAGTGGAATTTCATTATAAATGTGCTGGCTTGTGATCAAAGCAAATACAAGAAATAATCTGATGTAATAGTCATAGCAGTCCACAAGCACATTTCTCGCAGTATCCCAAGGAGATAGTCTTGCCAAGAGACAACAGCCCCAGCAGACTTGGGCCCTGCAATGCAGCCTGCTAGTAAGAGTCTGCATCAGGAGACCATGTTGAGGGTCTTCTTTTGGAACAATGCTGAGACAAACCACTAGAAAATGTCTGGAGGGAAATACTTGTGCAATGACAGTGGTATGAATGAACAGCCAGCATCACATGGGGCTGTGAATAATTAGGAATTTGATCCTGAAATGCATCTAAAATATCAGGCAAAGAAAAGTGGCATCAAAAGGGCAATCCATGGTTTTAAATTCTTTACCCTCAAATATTTTAAAGACATTGGCCCTAGTCCTTGGATCCAGTAAAGCCATACTGGGTGCAGAACTCAAGTGGGACAGGGAGTCAAAGACAGCTGTACGCCACTTGTTGCATTCTTCTGGTCTGTGGTGCTTTTGGCACCTTGCTCAGTTTATGGCACAAGTGACCATACCATGTTCTTAATTTATAATCAGATTTTCAAAAAATGCCATGTGTAACATGGCTTCACCCTGCCTGTCTCAACCTAATCGGACACATCACAAAATTGAAAAAAAGTGGCTTTCATGAAAGGAACATAGGTGCATGTATACACATTCACTCCCTACCTTTCCTCAGGGAATGTTTCCTTTCCTTCCATGGTGAGCAGATAATGATCGGGTTCAAAGCTGTCTCGTTGCTCCAATTGTTCCCATACTGACTGGCACTGAGGACCTTTGCCGAACCATAGATTATGGTATCGCTCGACTTCTGTCTTCCCCAGTGGCCTCTTCATTTTCTTCCCCAGACTAGGCATTGGTGGGCACCTCTATTATGAGTCCTTCCTCCCATGGACTACAGGGCTTTGCAGGACCTGCTCCTGGTCCTTAGCTTTAACCTTCCAGGGTGACCTGACCTTGGCCAAGACTATGGCAAAATCCTGGCTATCTTGCCCCCATGGCTTAGGAGGTAGAGAGAAAATACTTTGTCCCTATCAAGGGGTTTAAATATTTGTTTGTCCACCCTCCGCCATATTCCCATGTGATGAAGGTGATGAATAAAAAGGAGCATCGGGGTCCTCAAGCTTCAGTGCCTAAGTCAAAAAGTGCTTAGTGCCTTCACCTGTTTGGCCAAAAGGGGGTCTGCTGTGTGAGGACCGTTACTCCGGAGAGCAAACCAACTGGCTATCCTGAGTCATTATGGTTATAGCTCTTGGGATTCTTTACTGAAATGTAAGGACTTGCTCCCTCAAGAATCTTGGGATGAGTTTGCTGCCCTGATCCAGGATGGTAAGATGGTTTCCCGAACCTGCCTCCAGGTCTCTCTGGACACTGGAGACTCGGTGCTGTGGGTTCTCTTCTCTGGCATCGCCATACACCAGGTTGCCTGGCTCCAACTGTTGGACCTTCTCCCCAAGGTTTAGCAAACCCTACAGGACCTTCCCTTTGACTGGGTGATCCTTTTTGTGGAACAAACTAATTTGTGACTACGTAGCTTTAAGGACTCTCATAACACCATGAAATCCTTGGGAATACATGCTTTGTCTATGCAATGTAACACCTTCAAACTGCAGTCCTCACAGAGGACTTTCCCTCCTCATTCCAGGACTGATTTTTCAAATCAGTAGTCTTGATATCCCTGTCGCAAGCCATCCAGGCCTCCATCTGGCAACAGTCAGGGACAATCCAAGCCTTCCTCGGGATCTAAGCAGGCATTTTGAAGGTACACCTGAGGACAGAGTACCGATATTGACAAATTCTTATCCCTTCATAGATTGTCTATCCTGCTTCCACTGAGCCTGGGCTGGCATCACCTCAGACCCTGGGTCCTTCGGTGTGTGGAGGTGGGCTGCTGTATCCTATTCCACTTCCTTTTCCCTCTCCTGACCCTCCCTACCCATCCTCTTCAAAACCCCTCTGTTGAGTAATTCCTCCTTCAGGAGGTGCATGAGCTTCTTGACTTTGGAGCGATAGAGGAGGTGCCTCGGAATCTCAGGGGCAGG